TATTAGCTAGGCTCCTTACATGCTTGCTAATAACTTTTTTTAAGATTGGTCTCCGACTCCGATTGACAGCGTTATGTTGGACAGATTTGTGCAGCTGTCTTCATGAAGGAGAGGGAGAGAGAGACAGAGGGACGAGCGAGAGGATGTGCGACGCTCTGCAATCAAATACGATTTTAAATAAAAAATAAATAAAAAATCAATATGTGGAGGTCAGCGTTGATATTGTGGCGGGCCGCCACAAATAAATGAACGTATGGGTAGATGGTGTTCATGTTCAGCTTCATTGTGAACTGAAAAGTCGAGGAATTTTTTTTCAGTAGGGCTCAACGATAACGAGTAAATTGTCAGATTTATCTCAATTATTATAAATGTAACAATAACTATTTTGAATGCGTTGGTGTATTATATTTCCCTCTCACAAACTCATGCACCCATCCTTCGTAACTTTTTCTCCTTCCACATCAGCAGAAACCCATTACAGCCTGTTGCTTCATCCAGAAAATCTCTAATATTTCTCCGCTCCCATTTTGAGTCTTTTTTCCGTGCTTTTGGTTGGGTTTAATTTGATTTTGAAGCAGCTGAGCAGAGGAGTCTGGGTGAAATGGCAGTAATGGAATGCACTGCAGTTGCTTTTTGGGGTGTGGATGTAAGTGTGTGTCTGTTTTTCAATGTGTGATTGTGTGTCTGTGTGTGTGTCTGTGTTTTAATGTGTGTGTGTACTTCGTGTTGAGGTGTTTCAGTTTAGATCTGCCAAACTGACAGGAGAACTGTCGACCTGTCAGCGCAGGACATGTCGTTTTTTGTGTGTGTTTGTCTGTTAGTGTGTCACATGTATTGCACCCAGTTACCTCTCTGCTTATGTAAGTGCTTGGGGCAAATGTCTGAGACAATTTGGCATCTGATGCCTTTTTAAACCAGGTGTTTTTGTGTCTGTCCTGCAACTTTAAGCCTCGTACAGACTACACGACTTTCAGCGTTGGCTGATGGCTGTGCTGTTCACACTACACAACTTGCCGTCTTGTGACGGGAGTCTTGAAGTCACTGTGGCGTTCGCACTACGTGACTTATCGGTGACGGGGGTCACACACTACGCAATCTGACAAGGACTCACCGGACGCTGGTCTCCAAACCGCGTTTTGTCAAGAAAACACACGTGAAATGTGAAAAATGATGCGAACCTATACATGAAACAGCTGTTTGATATTATAAAGATAGCAGACAAAAAATCTGGGTGAAAGAATGGATTAGCACACGCAGGTAGCAGGGATTGTCTGAGCTACAGAGAGAGCTGCAGGTGAGTAAAAAGTGTTTTGCAGAGAAAAAGTAGCTGCCTGCTCTCATTGGCTGGATGTGGATGTTGAGTCGGCCGAATTTTCCAGATATTTGGCATGCTAGATATCTGGCAGATGTCGGTGATGTGTTAGAAATGTGTCGGGGAGCCGCTTTGATGCGTCGTTTTGTAGTTCACACATAACAACTTGGCGACCGCCAATCGACGGCTGATTTACCCCTGATCACAGCCTCAGACGGTCGCTGAGTGTAAACTAGGCTTTAGAGTCTGTCCTTTCATTAATGAAAAGTTTTCTATTCTATTCTATTCTAGTCTAAAAACACCTGCACACTTTCTCCATGCCACAAAGGTTTATTACTGACAACGCTTCTTACTTGGATCTTTGTCAGGTCACAATCACCATTTTTCATTGACACCGTTTCTGATAGCCTTGCCCCTATACGTAAAGTGCATATAATTATTTACCTTAAACTCTGCCCAGCAACTACCCATCCATGTCCTATGTCCAAATTAACCTCTGCTGTTTTCAGATGAGTATGTTTTAGTGACTTGTGGTGAGGGTTGTGGATTGCAGCCAGTGGCTTACGGTGCATTCACGTACCCCTCGATTGGTCCCATTTCCCGAGTTGTGAAGTCGTTCTTCCAACTTCAGTGTGTGTTCATGTGCTCTTAAGTCTGAATGTGGAATCAACATTATTAGCATTATCAGAGTGTTGAAACAACACGCAGAGATCTAGTTCACTCTACATGCACAGTAAACTATTATATGTTTGCAAATTATGTGATATTGCACGAAGTTCTGTATGCTTCGGAAGATTCTGATTATTCCAACACTACATGATGCACCAGTCACCACTCACCCCTCCCTTTCCAAGTGCGCAGGAGAAGCTTCGGTGGCCACACGCTCTGTCGGCTCTTGTGCTAAATAATACGCGTGGGCCTTCATTTGTCCAAATTTCTCTTATTTTGTTACTTTTAATAAACCAGACGATTACTACTAGTACTACTACTAACGTTACTACTGCTTCTTCTTCTTCTTCTTCTTCTTCGTACGTATAGCAGTTGTAAGTCACTTTGGATAAAAGCATCAGCTAAATAAATAAATGTAAATGTATTCAATGTAGTGACGAAATGCGCTCTGTAGTGTTGTTTTTGCTACTGTAGAAACATGGCGGCGCAACATGGTGACTTCCATGTGAGAGGAGATATAAATGGCTCATTTAAGGTAATAAAAACATAACGGTTCAATATATAAGGTCTTTATACACCACTGAAAACATAGTTATGTATGTTATATTGCATTTATGTCAGTAGTTACTCTTAAATTTTACACACTGAACCATGCACCCATTTTGGCTTAGACAGTATTTGACAGTGAATAACCTTAAATTAATTGATCCCTTTTACGTTATATACAGATGAATAATATATTAAAAACATATAATCTCTCATAATGTCAATTCATGATGGATGGCAATTTGATTTATTTTAGTCATAAGTACAGTGTGGAGAGCAGTGCAAACAGCATCACTGTAACACGGCCTGTGACGGGGTATGTTGCCAAATTAAACTGTACGACTTCATAATTTTGGTGAAGCATACACCAAATAACCTGTTCATTGAGATGTAGCCGGTAGGTTCTTCATTTACATTCTCACCATCCTCAGGTCACTGTAAATTGTCACATCAAGCTTTAATAACAGCATTTATGTTGTTCCGCGTAACATCACTTTCCTTAATAACCCAACTTAGCATTTATTTATGTGATAGCAGCACTGGCTTGCTGTGAGACGGATATAACAAATTAGATCCAAATCATGTCAATTTCAACATCAGAAGACGACAACAAAAGGCAGAACATTTTGTCAGATGACGCTGTAGCATTCACATAACATCCTGCTGTTATAGAGAATTAGGTGGAGATGATGCAGTGATGTAATTGCAACTTGCGTCACTATGTTGTCGTGTCCAAGAAACACAGGGTCAGCTTCAAATTGTGAGCATTATGACACTTGCATACATTTTAATACCCTGGATTTAATCAGTTTAGTTGTGTTTACAATGATTATGACGTTGCTCTATGATAATCAGACCAAGATATGCAAGAGATAATTCCCAGTTCATTTTCTATTGAATGCAAATGAACTAAGGGTTTGAAAAAATGTGAGAGAAAAAATCCCTAACTTTATAAAAATAACAGTGGACTTCTGCAGAAAGTGACATAATGAAGGTGGTAAATCTGACAGCTTTGTGTGTATTGTCTCATGTTTTTTTATCATGTATCTCTGATGATGATCATGATAGTTGATGCTGATAATGATGTAGCTGGGTAGCGCTTTGAGTGTGTGTATACAAAGTGTATTGAGCTTCTTTGACTTCTGTGGAAAAATGTCAGGTTTTCCTTCAGCTTTGGTACAATTAAGTTTGATAGCACAAAATTCTCAGCCATCAAAAACATCAATAGTGAGCGTCGTGAATGAAAAGGAACGTGCCTTTTTATACCCACCATTTAGCACTGCCATCAACAGTAATACAGGGAGAAAGATGTAGGAGGCAGAGACACCAATTTCTCCACAGATGGTGACCTTTCTTTCTCCACTGGAAGCTCATGTTCTTTTGCTCTTGTGTCGCTGTTTGCTGTTGCTCTCTTCGCCTCCATGTTTGCCCAAATGCAACTACCGTATTTCACACCCACTCTCTGTAGGTTATTTACAGTTATCGTGGAAAATGTTGGAAGTCACTAAATGAATTGAAGATGGCGAGTTGAGGAACAGCGAGAAAATTGCAACACTTAAGCGTAAATAACACCTTTCTATGCACCAAATGTGTCAGATGAATTATAGTGTTTGTGTTTTAACAGTGTATGAGTATTTAAGGGTACAGAACAGTGTACTTTGAACTTACTGAACCCTAAATCTTCCTTCATATTCTGTATATGTGACACTGTACATATTTTCTTGGTCCAGTGCGTCATTAGTAATATCTTGCTCAAAGCTACCTATACCCTACTGGATGTCTGTTAGCTTAGCTTTGCACAAATACTGGAAACGGTGGGGAGAACAGATACAGTGGCCTGGCTTTTTCCAAAGGTAACACAATCCACCTACCAGCACCTCTAAAACCAGAGATGTTTTACAGAGGAGACACAGTAGTAGTGATGCATGCGAAGTATAACTGGTCAGAAAACACTTTTTAAACCTTATTTTGGGGCAAAATTGTCAAACTTTTTTAGCGATTTTTAGTAGGTTTTACTAGTGATTCTATTCATGTAGTTTTTATGTCCTGGTGACCAGTAAAACTGCAGTTCTGGCTCTCTCCCAATTTATTCAGATAGGAGCCTGGTCTTGTCACAAGTTGTAGTTTGACGCAGCTTATGTGCCGTAACTTTCTGTAAAAATACTAGGTGGTAGACAGAGCCAAGCTAGCTGTTTCCCCCTTTGTGCTAAGCTAAGCTACCCGGCTGCTGACTCTAGCTGCATGTAGACCATACAGACATCAAAGTTGTATCTTCTCATGTAACTCCCGGAAAGAAAGCCAATAACCCTCTTCCCCAATGTGTCAGTATTTGTGATTGGATAGTTGATGATTTTGGATGTGAAATTGGAGAAATGTGTCATTAAAAATGTGTGTGTGTGTGTGTGTGTGTGTGTGTGTGTGTGTGTGTGTGTGTGTGTGTGTGTGTGTGTGTGTGTGTGTGTGTGTGTGTCAGACTTCTGCCAGGTGGAGCTGCGTCTGCTGGCTCACCTCTCCTCTGACCCTGAGCTGCTCCGCATTTTCACCCTCCCGCAGGCCGACGTCTTTACCATGTTAGCCTCTCAGTGGTATGTCACACACACACACACAATTCAGTGTGCTTTAGTGGCATGAATATTTCAGTTAAACAATGTTGCTAAAGATTTTTGCAGCAAAAGGATCTGTAGATAGAAATGCAATATAATATACATAACTATACTGTGGTGTATAAACCTTACATAATGAACTGTTGTGTTTTTATTACTTTAGAATGAGCCATTTCTATCCACATACACTGCGGGTCCTCTTACATCGGACAACGCCATTTGCGCCGCAATGTTTCTACGGTAGCCCAAATGGACATAAGGCTCTACAGAGCGCGTTTTGTCACTATGTTATAAACGCTCGAAGAACAAGTAACGTTTGTAGTGGTAGTAGTTTTAGTCTTCTGGTTTATTTAGAAGTAAGAAAAGACGAGAAATTTGTACAAATAGAGGCCCACACGTATTATTTAGCACAAGAGCCGACAGAGTGTGTCGGCCACCGTAGCTTCTCCTGCGCTTGGAAAGGGAGGGGTGAGCGGTGATTGATGGTGTATTCATGTCGTGTAGGAATAATCTGATTTTCTTTAAATCTTGCAAAAAGAGGAATAAGGTATACAAATATGGAGAAAAAGTACCACATAAAAGTAGTAATTGACCTTTCGCTAAGCCACGCCCCGAATACGCAGCTGGCCAATCACAGCGCAGTATAGGACTCGCTCTAACTGAATGCACAGTGAGCTGTTTGTTGCAATTCGCAAACCTCACCACTAGATGTCAGTAAAACTTAACACACTTAACCTTTAAGTGCAACAGTTCGCTGAGTCACTCGCTGTCCCTCAGGTTGTGACACAGGGCCACATACTTGGCGGCAAAGTTTGCCATATGTCCTTCTCATAGGATTATTCTTAATTTATTGTTATCTTCAAGTTCTTTGATATCCAGTATAACACACAAACACATGCATACACACTCTAGTTCTCACCTGATCTTCTTGGCAAGGTGAGTGTTGATGCTCCACAGGGTTTCTCCTTCCTGTTTTCTTTCTTTCTCTCTCTCCTAGCCCCGCCTCCCCTCCTGACTGCCTTCACTTCAAACGCTAATAACCTTGTTGCCTTGACTACCATGCCAACTGCCTGATTCGCCCCGCTCTTTTCCATGGGCAGGGCACCCGTGGGCTCGTCACCCTAGTGATTACATTGTCGTGCTTTTGAAGTATTTTTGTGAATGTGTATGTGAGTTTTTCTCCTTCTTTCATGCTGCTGGTGTGTCTGTGTTTACACATAGGTCTGTCTTGTCATTCTGATGCTGTGTGTGTGTGTGTGTGTGTGCGTGTGTGTGTGTGTGTGTGTGTGCGTGCATGTGTGTGTGTGTGTGCGTGTGTGCGTGCGTGCGTGTGTGTGTGTGTGTGTGTGTGCGTGTGTGAGCATGTGTGTGTCACAATGTGCTACTTTTACTCTGTTATCCATCTCAGTCAAGTGTGTGTCAGAGGGCAGCCGGTTAAACAGATTACCTGGTCACACAGACCATATTAACAGCTCTACTGAGGCTTTACTTTGTGTCTCTTTCATTATCTCTCTTTCACATTTAAAGAAATTAAGTGGTGTCACTGTAACTCTGCTGGGATTACTCCACCTTTTGCACACTCTCTGTCTTTTATAGCTTTTGTATCTTTCCATGCAATTGTCCCTATAAAAACTTTTTGAACAAGTCGTTTTTGGTCTCTTTTTTGCCTTCTCTGTCAGGTTTTTCTCTTCTTAATCCCTTTTCCCCCTCACTTTCCATCAATCTTTTACATGTTCATTTCACAGTTTCTTTTTCTTTTTTATTTCATTCCTTCCTCCCACAATGTCCCATTACTCTCCCCCCAGTAATTTGCATTTGTTACTCTGGCTGGAATAGCCTCTAGGTATAGAGAAAAATATAAAAAGCTTTTTATTCATGACCTGTGTAGTCAGACTCCTTTGGCCTACCACAAAATTAATTCCTTGTTACTTTGAATATTATGTAGATTTTTCTTTATAACACACTCGTCGCTGCAGAGAACAACCTGCTACATTACCTTTTGGGCTTTCTAGTCCTTCACCTTGTAGTGAACTTGTGTCATTGGCAAACACTTACATGTAACAGCAACAAGCCAATTTTATGTAGAAGCCCATTTCATTTTCAAATAAACCAGATTAGGTGAAACAGCAGGAGAAGAAGAATTTTACTTATCCAGCAGGGGGCAGTGAAAATCCAGAATGGATTTCCCTTGGCCAGATGCACAGTGGAGGAAAGTGATCACCTTTGGGTCACCCACTGGAGGTTAAAGGTTAACAGAGATATGTGTGTGTTTGTTTGTAAGAGAGAGAGAGCAGTAGAGCGGCATTTTAAGTGTAATTACCTCAGCTCCGATCAGTAGTGGCAGCTCCCTGTCAGCCCCTCCAGGAATGCCACATTGCAGACGTGTCATCCCACCCACACTGTCTGATCCCCAGTACTACTGCTGTCTGCAAGTCATATTACATAACTGTCTCTGTCAGTCCCTGCCTCTCTCTCTCTCCGTCTCTGTTCTTTTCTTTAGTCCCTCTGTCTCTGTACTTCATGTCGTTTTAACCTCCATATGTCACATTGTTTCTGTCCTTATTTTCCCTTTTGTTCTTAGTGATTTTTCTGCTGTCCTTTTCCTTTTCTGTTTGCTCCCTCTCTGTGTCACCTTTCTGTCTTGTACTTCTACTTTCTCTGTTTCCCACCGGACAACGATCAAAGGAAGTGGGTTGATGTCTAATCAAGACTTTTATCGTACATCCATACAACTTATTATACTTGTATTTGAACTGTTTTCTACAATTTCAGCGTTGTATCTCTATTTTGTCTGGGAATTGTCTGTATTCAGTGTCAAAACCATAAACTAGTAATCCAGTGTATGGAAAGGTCATCCAAGGACTTTATTTGCATTTTTAACTAAAAAACATCAAAATTTTGTTTTGTACCATCAGTTAATTATTTTGCCTCTGTCAGTTTGTTCAATAATACATACTGTACAGTGTATTTATATTTTCATTTAGTAACACACACTGTCTCTCTCAATGTGTTCACCTTTGTCACTCAGGAAAGGGGTGCGTGAGGGTGAGGTGACTTCCGAGGATCGGGAACACGCCAAACGCATCGTCTACTCTGTTGTGTACGGGGCAGGTGAGTACGTTGTGAAGATAAAAGAGATTTATCAGTCAGCTAGACAATTGATCTTTGTTGTTTCAAAGTGACAAAACAATGGATCAAAGTTTAATTTGGTGACCGGTTCAGACCTGCAAGTGGATCGTTGTTTGAAGGGGGTAAATGTGTTAGCAAAGGAGATAATTCAGAAGACGCAGACAGAAAGCGAGGCAGAGGAAGAAAGAGACTGCAGTATCACAATGATGTGATTATTTTACGCAGGGTTTAGGTTATCTTTACAAAAAATTGCCCTGGGATTTTGACGGGGACATATAGTAGCTGTGTTTCTTTAATGTTGTAGATCACATTCCTGAATCCATGGGCTGGACAGGGATGGGTGGGTAGAGGGTGGAAGGGCAGGAGAAGATAAAAATAGAGAGAGGAAGATGAATTTATAATACACCCTTGTGGCCCATAAAGAGACTTGTGTGTGTCAGCGTCATTTATGATTCACACACATTAAAGTGCATGCTCTCGCGAACACTCACACTTACTGCATATGCACACACAACCACAGTGATGCAAGTCAGTGGTGTCATGGAGACTAAATGAATATGTGTGTGTGAGTGGACATGTGGTGGATATCCAGGCCGGTGGATTTAAAACAATGACTACTAATAATTGTTGTGAGTTGGTGTGTGTAGTTGTGTGTTATGTTTTTTTTTAAGCGTGTGTATATATGGACCTGATGAGTGACATGTGTTTACATGTGCGTTTGTGTTTTTACCTGTGTGATGGCGGGAGGTTTTACAGGCAGCTGGTACTCAGTAGCTTGTCAGCAGGGCTGACTACTCTTCAAAAGTGTGTGGTCTGGTATAATAGCAGTTTTGACAGCTTTGGAGCCTGTTGTCAAACCTGCTGTTACTTATTATTTGTGTGTGTCTGTTATTTAAAAAATAAAAAATAAAATTCATCACTATAAACTGTGATGATCAGCATCTTCTTGGGGCAGGAAAGACAACAATTTTTGGGTGCGTGGGGACATAAATTCCAGATCTTAACTGATCTGCTGCCTTAAAAATATCCAGAATTTTTAAAAAGTAAACCTTAAAACAATATATATATATCCGGAGGTTATTGTAGTTATGTCAACATGTATACATTTTAATGAAAAACTGTTTTGATTCTTTTAATTGGTGGACCAGACCAGGCTTCTAATTGAGACCTGCGTTTATTTGTCAAAATGCGTAGCCACACTTGGCCAGTAGAGGGACAGGGATTATGGGTAGTTGTGATATATTGCTAGGAAGTACTGACAACAATGTGATAATAATAAGTCATTCTAGGTAATTTCTTCCCAACTGGTTTTCCATCATACTTTAATATTTTGGGTAAAAAGGTATTAAATTGCATTCCACGTGGTATCAAAAAGTAAAAATTTTACTTGGTGAACCCTCCCATAAACCTTCTGTAGGGATGGGAAAATGGGTCAAAAGTCATGACCATGGTTTAGATTACCTCACAACAAAAAACTGGGCCTGTGTATCACCCTACAATGATGCATTTAATTTGTGTACAACTACTTTTGGTAGGAGCCAAGATATGTTATATTCCTCTGCTTCACTTACTTACACAGGTGCTGCTCTTACTGTGACCCAGACACAATATATTATCAAAACAGGACATTTAGTGTTCTCCCTGAAGACAACATCATGACGAAATCAGAAAATATGTTCGATTTAATTAACCAGTCAGCAGTGACTCTTAACGCGCATAATTTTCATTAGAATGTGTAGGAGGGGAACTGGGTCAGTGGCTATCCCTCTCTTATTGGATTGAGTTTGTTTAGAGTGCATTCAAGAGGTCAGCAACATCTGACGCTCTCAAGATGATGATGGAGTGTTTTGTGGCATTTCTACTTTAGCAGGAGTCGCAGCTCAGAGGGAGGAAAACAAGCATAAACACACAAACACTCACACACAAACACACACTGATGAATGAGTCAGTTCTAGGAAACTCAATAAACCTCAACAGTAACGGCCAACGAGGAAAATGTGTGCAAGCTATTCATTTGAGACATGTAGGGAGCCATGGGATACATGCAGGGACAATTCACAAAACAAAAGATCAGTGCTAAAAATTCAGAGTGAATATATGCAGTGTGTGAGAAGTAAAAGAGAGAGACAAAGTCAGATGCTGGGAATAGCAAGGGAGATGTAGGCTGAAGGCATAGAAAGAAGGGGGGGGTGAATAATGTGGAGAGAGTAATGTAGGGGAAAGGGGAAGAGGAATGGAAGGAGCTCCTGATGATCAGAGACAGGCAGCTCTGCATGGGAGGATGCGTTGCCATGGATAACAAACACTAAAAGGAAGCTTTCTCCGCAAGACAATAATCAGGCCAGGGAGGAGGGGCCACGCAGCAATATGGACTCATGCACACGCGCACATACACACGCATACGTATACAAATGGGTCAACTAATAAAAAGGCCAAGAAATGATGTTGGCGGGGGAGGATGAAGGAGGTGAGACAGAGATACAGTGAGAGATTAAAGAAATGAAAAAGACTTTTGAGGACTTCTGTGACCTTTCAAAAAAGACTCAAACTAGCATATCAACAGTGTTTTTGCAAAAGTAGCATTTCGTATTTATGATAACATTTTGACACGTGGAAACAGGAAGGACAGTGGCAACAGAAAGAGGGCAGAAAAAGAGAAAATGGACGGTAAAGAGGGCAGAACTAAATAGGAGGGTTTCAATGGTAGAAGAAAAGATGAACAAGGTCTAACTGAGAGAGGGAAAAAAAAGATTGACGGGTTACATGCAGAGAAGCAGGGAGCGTCAGTAACGAAGGTTAAAGGTCAGTCCCTGAAGTGACCTCATTCAGCAGGAATGTGGAGCTTCACACACATAAGAACACACTCATACGGTACAGCCGTCACACCCAGAGGCAGTGCTCTCTAGTATCTGCACAGCATCTTTCAATTCAACATGTTTGTATAGCGCCAATTTATACACTTTTCATACAGAGCCGGTCTAGATCGTACTCTTTTTTTTTTATTGTTATAATCCATGGAAACTCTTTGTTACACACAGCATATCAGACTGAGTGACTTCTAGCTCAACACAAACAAAAACACACACGCTGCTGAAAGGGCCTTGGCCGTGACATACAGTGGGTACGGAAAGTATTCAGACCCCTTTAAATTTTTCACTCTTTGTTTCATTGCAGCCATTTTCCAAAAATCAAAAAAATTAATTTTATTTCTCAGTAATGTACACTCAGCACCCCATCTTGACAGAAAAAAACAGAAATGTAGAAATTTTTGCAAATGTATTAAAAAAGAAAAACTGAAATATCACATGGTCATAAGTATTCAGACCCTTTGCTCAGTATTTAGTAGAAGCACCCTTTTGATCTAATACAGCCATGAGTCGTTTTGGGAAAGATGCAACAAGTTTTTCACATCTGGATTTGGGTATCCTCTGCCATTCCTCCTTGCAGATCCTCTCCAGTTCTGTCAGGTTGGATGGTAAACGTTGGTGGACAGCCATTTTCAGGTCTCTCCAGAGATGCTCAATTGGGTTTAAGTCAGGGCTCTGGCTGGGCCATTCAAGAACAGCCACGGAGTTGTTGTGAAGCCACTCCTTCGTTATTTTAGCGGTGTGCTTAGGGTCATTGTCTTGTTGGAAGGTAAACCTTCGGCCCAGTCTGAGGTCCAGAGCACTCTGGAAAAGGTTTTCGTCCAGGATATCCCTGTACTTGGCCGCATTCATCTTTCCCTCGATTGCAACCAGTCGTCCTGTCCCTGCAGCTGAAAAACACCCCCACAGCATGATGCTGCCACCACCATGCTTCACTGTTGAGACTGTATTGGACAGGTGATGAGCAGTGCCTGGTTTTCTCCACACATACTGCTTAGAATTAAGGCCAAAAAGTTCTATCTCATCAGACCAGAGGATCTTATTTATGACCATCTTGGAGTCCTTCAGGTGTTTTTTAGCAAACTCCATGCGGGCTTTCATGTGTCTTGCACTGAGGAGAGGCTTCCGTCGGGCCACTCTGCCATAAAGCCCCGACTGGTGGATTGCTGCAGTGATGTTTGACTTACTACAACTTTCTCCCATCTCCCAACTGCATCTCTGGAGCTCAGCCACAGTGACCTTTGGGTTCTTCTTTACCTCTCTCACCAAGGCTCTTCTCCCCCGATAGCTCAGTTTGGCCGGACGGCCAGCTCTAGGAAGGGTTCTGGTCGTCCCAAACGTCTTCCATTTGAGGATTATGGAGGCCACTGTGCTCTTAGGAACCTTAAGTGCAGCAGAAATTTTTTTGTAACCTTGGCCAGATCTGTGCCTTGCCACAATTCTGTCTCTGAGCTCTTCAGGCAGTTCCTTTGACCTCATGATTCTCATTTGCTCTGACATGCACTGTGAGCTGTAAGGTCTTATATAGACAGGTGTGTGGCTTTCCTAATCAAGTCCAATCAGTATAATCAAACACAGCTGGACTCAAATGAAGGTGTAGAACCATCTCAAGGATGATCAGAAGAAATAGACAGCACCTGAGTTAAATATGAGTGTCACGGCAAAGGGTCTGAATACTTATGACCATGTGATATTTCAGTTTTTCTTTTTTAATACATTTGCAAAAATTTCTACATTTCTGTTTTTTTCTGTCAAGATGGGGTGCTGAGTGTACATTACTGAGAAATAAAATGAATTTTTGGAAAATGGCTGCAATGAAACAAAGAGTGACAAATTTAAAGGGGTCTGAATACTTTCCGTACCCACTGTATTTCACTGACACACACACAGACATGCCGACTGAATTTAAATGTCTTTATCTTCTACTCTAAGGCTCACTTTCTAAAAAATGAAGCCCATGTTGGCGAACTTTCAAATTATTTTTTGTTATCATTATTAATTAATATCTAAATTTATTCTACATTTAATTTCTAAAATGACAGTACAAGTATGTATTGCATTTGTGTTTTGCCACCGGAAAAACTTGAATACAATATTCCCATTTAAAAAGGCATTATCATAGTTATTACATCAATATGTGTTTAATTGTCATAGTACAAGTATAAGAATCTATGAATATGCAAGTATTATTACAAAAGTTTTAAGTTTTAAGTTTTAAGATTTCTCCTACCTCCCCTGAAAAGTCCATCCTCAATGTGCGTATGTTGACTGGAGGTTTCAAGTTTCATACTGAACCATGATTGGCTCAGAACTAGTTGTGATGTCACAGAGTCATGCTCAAAGGTACATGTCTAAAGTTTGAAACTCAGCGCAAACATTATTCTGCACAGTGAAAGTCGAACATCCAAGTGAAGTAACAATAAGCAAAACACATTTGGAGTGGCTGGCGTGTGTGTGTGTGTGTGTGTCTGTGTGTTTTATGGTGGTGTTGATTTTTAATCCCTGCAGTAGAAGCTACTGTCCTCTCTGCTAACCTTCCTACCAGCTCTCGGGCTGTTTGGCATTACATTACTCATCACCAACCACACATCAACACACCACCCTGACAGCTCAAACACACACACACAGTAACTATGGCACCCATTAGCTCACCCTCTACGTTCCTCTATCGATCTCTTCCTAACCTTACAGCCCGCTCCTCTACTCCTGCTACAGGCTGTACTGGGAACACACACACACACACACACACACACACACACACACACACACACACACACACTGTTCTTAGCTTTATATTCACTTTACACACAGATACACACATACACCCCTTGCAGCCTTGCCGTGATCCTTGCCCACTATCCTTTTATCTTGTCCTCTTATATCTTTCACCCTTCACTTGGCTCTACTTTTTTTTCTCTTCATTTATTTTACCCTCTAGTCCAGTCTGGCCTCTGTTCACTCTTTCTCTTTCAACTTTCTTCTCTTCCCCTGGCCCCTGTCACCATTCACCTAACCCTAACCCATTTTTACAAAGACTAGAAAGGCACTATACAAATCCAGAACATTTACATTTAAATATCTGTACAATAAAAGACTGGAAACAGGTAAACAGCTTGCCTGGCTCTGTCCAGTGGTAACAAAATCCACCTACCAGCTCCTCTAAAGCTCACTAATTAACACGTGATATCTCATTTCAGTCAGGACAGCTTCATCAAAGTAGATATTTGTGATGCAGTAAGTTAAATTTGCCGTTATGTCTCTGTTTTGGGATGCCTGCCCTTCCACACACCTACGTGGGAGAGCACCTCCCCGCCCATCCATGATAATACATGGAAAGCCAGAGGCAGAGAGCAGCAGCAAAGACCCTCCAGGGTAGTGAACAGAGCATCAATAACAACAGGAATGACAGCATTAATCAGACACAGCCTGAAAGGAGGAGCTGGGGTGGCAACGGTTTACAAGCTGCTTGCAGAGGAAGCAGCAAGGGCAGACAGGCTACAGCAACTTAAATAAGATGTCCTTGTATGGAATTTGCCAATGAATGCTTAGAGAAGAATCAGCTGAGCTGTCAGAGGCACTCTGCAAGAAAATGAAGAAATGTATTTCCCAAAATGTTAAATTCCTTTAGCATTCTACACACATTGCCAGGCACATAAATGTGTGGAAGCTACTAAAAATCAGTGAGGGAGCGCCCCGGTAGCTTACCTATAAGAGCACGTACCATGTATTGAGGCTGACTCCTTAGCGGAGCGGCCTGGGTTTGAATCCAGCCCTTGCCTTTGCTTCATGTCTCCTCTCTCTCTCTCCTCTGCCTTCCTGTCTCTCTCTACTATCAGTGTCAAATAAAGCAAAAAATGCCAAGATCATATTTAATTGTACTATTTATGTTACATCTGCATGGCATCTCCCTTGTAACTTCTCCCTGATGCGTGCCTGCTTAGTTAAATACGAATTAGTAAATGTTGTTTCCAACAGGTCGTGAGCGTCTGTCAGGAATCCTCGGGGTGAGCGCCGAGCAGGCCAGCCGATTCCAGGACAGCTTCCTCCAGACCTACAGAGAAGTCCAGACCTTCATCCAGAGGACCATCCAGCAGTGCCACAGACAAGGTCTGTGTACATTCAAATTCCCATTGTGTCCCCCCACCCCCCCGATTTAATAAGCAATAAAATATATAAGCATTACCTCAAGGTTCTTATCTTGAGTCTCAAGATCAGTTTCCCAGAATTCAATAGCTAAAATGTTTATTTATAGGATTAGAGTTTAGGATCAGAGTCACGGTTAAACTACGGGAATTTAAGAGTTAATGTTAAAAATTAGCACAGTGTCCCCATAAATATAACAAAAATGTGTGTATATCTCTGGGTTAGGACCTGGACTGTTGACATACACTATGTTGTTTGAATTTCTTAGGCGTACACATATACTCCTATGCTCTCATGTGTGTTTGTGTGTGTGTGTGTTTGGCTGAGGAAGAAGAAGATGTGCTTGCATTGGCAGGAATGAGACAAACTGCCGCGGGTCAATACTTGAGGGGGACGAGGTGGATGGTTCAGACGGGACACTCTATTTTGATTCGGACTGAACTGCCAACACAGCACACCTGAGATTTAAACACGCTCACACAAAATAGTGTAAAGTCTGCACTTTAACCCTCATTGCACTCACACGTACATGAGCCCAGCATCGACAGGCAGAGGGATGAGGTCGGTCTGCACCAAAACCTTCAGCACTAAGGCCTGTGTTTGGGTCAAGACCTCAGCCTCTGGTTTGGTGTGTAATCGCATCTTATGTGTGCTGTATCGGCTTTTCCCTTCAAAATAAAAGCATTAAAGGGACAACTGATGAGTTACTTCATTTTGTTACGCAACCCTGTGTTGTAAAATGATAAATAAATCTACCTTCTGCAGTATAAACCAATAACACACCAAATACATGAGGAGTAATCTAAGAGAACGAGCCAGCTGTGTGAGTACTAATGCCGCAGTGTCAACTTTAGCACTGTTGTGGTACTACAGAGTCTCCCCACTACCTTGTGTTCTTTTGTTCCCCCCCTTCCCTGTGTTTTCTGTCTGTCCTCCCTGTCTGTGTTTGTCTGGGCGTGGCTACACTCTCTGGCTCCAGCGGCGCACCTGGTCCTCATTCCACTAATCAAGCTCCTGCAGTATTTCAGCCCCAGTCCTCCTCACATTCTTCGCCAGATCGTCAGTTAATCACATGTGGTACATGTGTCAAGGCCTACTATCTACTCCCGTAAGATTCCTTGCAATTTCTGTCTCCCTGGAGACTGTTTTTCTCTGTGCCCAGGATCACACTACCTCTGGGAACTCTGCTGAACGCCACACCCCGCTCAGCTCATATCTTGCCTGGACAAACTCCCCTCCTCCGTGTTCTCCATTCTGCCCTGTTGGAACCTACCACCCAGTCTTCCGTTGCTCTTTTCAATAAAGCCCTTTGTTACCCCTTCAAACTGTTCCGAGTCTGCCTTTGAGTCCTTAAGTTCTTGTATTATGACAAGCTCTATCTGGCTGTTTCTGAATGGAAAACTATAACTTTATCTTGTATAACAAGTGTTGAACAACCTTGTTTTGTTGTTAGGTCAAGGAAGTGGATGTTTTTTAATGCCAGCCAGGAGTACAAATTTATCACTAACACCATCCCAGCGTCACACCCAGACAGCTGTTCCATTACCCACAGTAACCTATCACCGGTGACACACCCCGCGCCCCACTCATCGCTTCCCCTTTTCTCCAGTGTTATCTTCTTAATTAATGGACTCATTCTTCCAAAATGCTGCTCACAGATTAACGTGGAAGCCTCCTCGTTCTCAGGGGCAGAGTGATGTTGCGCCAAGCAGTCTGCTTCAGTTCAGCTCATCACCATGGTGATCCTCCCATCGGAGACCGTGCCGGGATTTATCTGCCCCGCTCGCCCCTCACTCTCTCTTGCTGTCTTTAAGTCTATCTCTCTCTCTGCCTTTTGCTCTCCTTCGTCCAATCTACGTCACTGTTTTCATACCTCTTCTCTTTATGTTCCACAGCAGAAATTTAGCTCGTCGATAAAATTATCCCCATGTCTGTGAGGAGACGTACAGTATCGCACTAGAGTCACGGGCTGTTTTAGCTGCGGTGCCGTGACTCAGAGAGCAGAGATTAATATGTGCCTGGGCTCCATGTCCACTCAGCACCAAGTTTATGGTTGATTGGTGTCTGATTTTGTTTAGAACTGCTGGATGCTGGCGGGCTGAGCAGAGGTGAGGTGCACAGTGCAGGCTTAGCTTTTGTCATATTTATTGGAAATGTATTGGAAAGGCCAATGTGAAGGTCAGGTCAGTATCACAGTGTGGGTGTAATAGCCGCGAGAGAAGAGCAGAAAAAAAGGGCTGTGGATGTAAAGGAGGAAGTACAAAAATGGACCAGACGAAAGAAAGAAGTGGACAAAATAGGAATAGTTTGATATTTTTTATTATATAAACTACAATAAAAGACTTAATAGCCATAGATGGCATGGCCGCACTCTTCTAAATTGTCGTCATTCTGGTTGATACTCCTTTGACTTTTAAAATGAGATAAAAGCCACGGCTCTGGATAAGTCTGTCCTCTTCTTAATATCGTGCACATTTCATTGACTCTCCTGGGATGAATGCTGTACCTTCACTTGTAAAGACTGTCTGAGATGAAAAGACGAGTAGAAAAACAACAGGGGGAATCACAGAGATAAAAACTGTCTTCTGAAGGCCACCACAGACTCAGGGAAGCGTAGATCTGCATAGATATGTAAACACCCTGCAGTGCTCACACACACACACACACACACACAGATATTAGAATTGCAGTTGTAATTTGCAGTTTAGTTGTGGCACAAGTCAGCACAAATGTCAGCAATGCTCAGCTATAACACGGTGTAACAATTTATTTATTATTTCGCTCCTGGGTTGTAAGTATTGTTTCCTGTTTGCCTATGCCTCAGAAGTTTAGAGAATTATTTACCACAGACTTTGCTTTTGTGACCAGGACAGTGATATTTTGAAATGTACCTATTTGTGTCTTTCCGTTTACATATAGTCAGACAATAACAACATATGAATCCAAATTAACATGTATTTATACACCGGCTTTGATCATTAACCCAGACAACTTAGGGAAGCCTAATTTGATGTGCAGTGGTGGCATCAGCACTTTCTGTTAGTCTGCATTGTGGTACAGCAGTCACACCCTTATTTAGCAGCTAAAGAGCCAGATATATTGTTGGTAGAAACTGACAACAGAGCTAAAAGATAAAAGTGAATATTGGATATTCACTAGTTCACTAGAAACACGGCTCCAGATTAATGATAATGTTGCTCCTTTACAGCTCAATATGTAAACACTTTGCTAACAGGTTCGCCTTGTCAGCTTCAACTTCAAGTTCAATATTGTGTTCACTATTGACCCCAAGTGACCAAAAAAAAAAAAACAGTAGTTACAGGTTTAACTATGCAAAAAAGGCAACTATTAAAGTTAAGTTTTATTTATGAATTAAAAACTAATTTGCTTCTTCTGGACTGTGTGGATGTGGTTTGATCAGATTTGATTGACAGTGGTCAAACAGCTCACCATTTGTCATCACACTTTGATTAATATAATTAATAAAATCCTTATTGGCCTATGGAAGTACATGAATAACTTTGGCAGAAGGTTTTATGACCACATCGCTCGTAGGTTTTCAGGGCCTTTTTTAATTATAATTTCATCAGTATAAAGTTGATAAATGATACTATTGAATTGTTTCCCTGTTCCTAGTTTCTGGTGCTACTGAGCATCAAATGAACCACCACTTTCTCTACACCGCTGATCATGAAAGCTGCCTGAACTTGAAAAGCACTGGCCGTCACAGGACTGTGTCACTGACCTGCCGATTGGGTGTGAAAAACATGCACATTCCTGTATGATTCACGTTGATACCTGGCCATAGTTGGAAACATCGTTTGTGTGGTACAAAATAGACCACGCATTCCGGTCATTGGGCCCCAGAACAAAGGTCACATTCCTGGTGAAAAGGTCACACACATGTGTCATGGGTCAATTCACAGTGAGTAGAAGGTTTTTAGTGTTTGTTACTATCTGTTGTGCGCTCATTTCCTGATTGAGTGTGTGTGTGTGTGTGTGTTTGTGTGTGTGTGTGTGTCCTGAGAAGAGGGTCATTCAGGTTTCATGCCCTGGTTGGCTTTCCTCATAGTGAGGGATACTAGAGGGATTTAGATGGTAAGCCTGCTCCATTGTCCAACTGGTGGAATGTACTGGTCCACTGTGTGAGAGTCTTTATGTGTGTCTATGTGTGTGCGTGCATGCGCGCGTGTGTGTGTGTGTGTGTGTGTGTGTGTGTGTTGCATACCTGCATTTGATCATGTGTGTGTTTGTGTGTAATGTGCGTATCACGTCACTGCACATTCTTGTGTGTGTTGTGTTTGTGTGGCTATCCTGGGAATGTGAGTGTGTTTGTCTTTGCCTTTGTATGTGCATCATGTGGATACTAGGGTTTGTGTGTGTGTAAGTAGGCTTGTGTGTGGGTGGGTGCATGCTTGTGTCATTGTAAGCCCGCTGTTACCATAATCACTTACTGTATAATGCTGCATCAACAAATGACTTTTCATGAAACTGTTCTCAGTAGCTTTAGCTCTGCTCAGCGTGTAGTTAGAAATAACTCTCTTGACTGAAAGAGACAGTTCAGACAAAGTAGCGTTTCCATCCAGAAACTGATGCTGCACACACACGCAGTAATTTTCTACTGATCGTAGAGTCGCTTTGGTCTTGAAGGCTTTTTGACTTGGACTTGAGCATCCTCCTTTTGGACATGCCGTGCTACACATCAAATGTGTGCTTTACAGTTCTTTTCAATTACTAACATGCAATGGTTAAAACTGAAGCCACTTTTTTCAAAACTCTTAATACAGTCTGCATTACCATCATGCATCTTGGCAAAACAGTTAATCTCACCTCCGAAAGTCACTCAGACCACCAAAACACTTCATAGGAGTCTCAACCAAAACAATTCTCACTCAGAAAGCAAACACTGTCACTCATAACACACTGACCTAAAAAAAACACTAACAACAGGAAGCACTACGTAAATGGTAAACCTTTATCTTTGAAGTATGAATGATTTTTTCATATAAATCAATATTTCATTATACAATAAAGTTTTTCTCAATCGCTTTTGAACATTTCTCAGATCTCATTTCAGAACTGAAATTCTCAAAACTACGCATTCAACCTCCACATCATCTAGTCACATGCATGTTGGAAAAGCAATTCTTATTCTTTTGAACAAATTGCAAATGTTTTTGCAACTGTCTGCTGTTTCCTACATTATCAATTACTCATGTCATGTTGATCACAATGGATTATACTGGTTCTCTGTTGAATAGTCTGACCCCTAAAAACATCTAGTCATAAGTTCATTTCATAAATCACTACTTGCACAATGGTTGAACACGTTGTCATAATCTGTCAAGCATATATTCAATACATGTCTATTATACATTGTTATTTGTAAATGTATCCTAAATTGATGAAGATCTCCGCAGTGATGTGGATAAGAATCTGTGGCATGACAGATAGCAACGTCAGCCTAAGGGGTGTTTACATTTCTTACATTATTTGGTAATTTTTTCTGTTGTGCTATGTGGATTTCTTTTCTGCATTTAGCCATAGTTTACATCAGAAAATACTTCCAGACTTCTTGTTCTTGTTCATAAACAATGACACAAGGACTTGTCATTCTGATGCACTGACATGTTCACTGATATAAAGATTTATTTTTGAGAGATAGACGAAGGATTTTGAGCAAGTTATGGACTATTGCAGGTTCCACTGCGTAGTGCTGTTTGTACGAGTTTTGAGAAATGCACTTACTATTTTGCAAATGTTAAGCGACTGAGAAAAACTGTAAGAATAACATATTTTCACTCTATTGTCTCATGTACAAACCCCCTGAACCAATTCTGCTAAAATACAAGCACATTTCCTGCTTTACGCTCACGCAATTTTAAAAGACTATATACATTACTCTATGCACATAGACGTAAACATAAAATGTACGTAAATGTTAGCTTTTCTTTATATTTCAGACTGGTTGCTGCAGAAAAGCACGACATTTGCCATCTTTCTGTTTTGAATGTGTTTTTAACAGTTTTGGACACAGTGCGTTAGCATTTGAAAAATGTGCTGCAGATAAATAGTGTTTTGCTGGTGGTTAAGTAGTAATGAGAAAAGGATGGATTTTAGAAAAAGTGGTCATTAATTGCATTTTGTGTGAAAGCAATGAAAAATGATTCACAGTTTGGTCCAGATACACTTCTGTTTCGCTAGATGTGTGAAGACTTTTGACATTGTGACTTCAGATTTGACCAAAGGTTAGCCATTGAAAAAAACTGTAATGGGGCAAATGATTCTCCACATCTGCCTGTTTCTGGCTGACTGTGTGAATCGGTGCGTTTACAGGTGGAGTACTGCTGCATATGCGGGAAAACAAGAAGTATAAAGCCTTATGTAGTTTCAGAGGGAGCTGTGTAAAGGTTGATAAAATGCCTCAAGTGATTTCACTTGGTTGTCAGTTGCTGCTAAAGAATACAAGTTTGAAAATAAAAATGATCTAGTTCAATAAGTGAGCTTCTCAGACTTCTGTAGCTCGCTCCTCATCTCTTCGCGAGGCTCGAGGCCACATTATCCGCTACTTGCATAACACCACCGAATTTTTAACTGAATTGAATTTCTCACAGAATGACAGACAAATTGGGCGGTGCGCCGCATGTGGAGGAGGCTTTTTAATGTCGAAACAAAACCAACATTGCAACTAATGAGTGACATCTGCACCGCTGTGTTCACTGTTGCTTTACCTGTTCCGTGCTTGTAAAATACCCACCATGTCCGCTTCCTGTAATGTAAAAGATAACAACTTTCTCTGTGTTTCTATGCAAAGTGCTAAAACGGGTCACCAAATATACTTGGACGGCCCGGCCAAGTGAAGTCTAGATGTGGGAAATAAAGACAAATCTGTTGTTTTGCTGCATCGATTTTGATTTTTAAACTTTTAAACTGTCCATCCAGAGTCCAACAATGGAATTTAAGTACAATGCTAAATTGGTGAAGTATTCCTTTAATACCGTTACCAACCTTATTTCCTTGTAACCCCTTAAGGTTGTAACTGATTTTTGTTGTAAAATTTCCAGTAATGCACAATAAAAGCAAAGGTCAACAGAATGTCTGAAAAACTAAATATAGGCTACCTGTTAATTGTCTTTTGACATGTTTGGCTTCTTTATGATTATAAAATCAAAATGCTTTCTTCAACATCAATATCAATATCAATTTTATTTATATAGCACACTTAAAACAACCAAGGTGGCAGCTACGCTAAAGGCTCGATCGCCTCTGATTGTAAAACAACACAAATACAGCATCTGCATAAGCAAATAAAATATAATGTATAATGCTGTGGTTCTCATTTAGTATCATGTCACTGCACAATCTTGTGTTGCCTCCCAGTGTGTGTTTGTGTGGACGTACTGGGAATGTGAGTGTGTTTGTCTTTGCTTTTGTATGTGCACAGTATAACTACAGCATCCAGGGTGGGGGAAGAGGGAGGTGCATAGGCAACTGAAGGTCACATTTTATTTTTAATCTTCAATTTGCAGTTGCTTAAAACAGTGTTGAGTTTTTTAATGCTTGACTATAGAATATCAAGCGTCCTATCGAGCCTCTACTATATGAAAAGTGATATATAAGTCAGGTCTACGTTTGTCAATGTCAGTAGTTCACCTTTAGCAGATGTGGATTGTGTTTACCTGGCTTTGGAGAAAATCACCAGAATTTGTTGGCAAGTAGTTATTTTATCACATTTCACTTTACAGTATGCCCACTACTTCAGCGAAAACTACACCACTGGTGATTTCTGGTTGCAGTGAATCTTGAGCCAGTAGCAGAGCTGCTGTGCTGAATGGGTATAAAAACTATAAAGAATAATTTATGCCTGGTTGTGTGAGAGGACCATCCTTCAAGGACAAATCTTCATTTACTCAAACTGTACTGAAGACATGATCTCACCATGCATATTAAATTGTGCTCAGAATGCTGACAATGAATTATTAAAATTGAAATATCTTTTTTAGGTTATGTGCTCTCCATCATGGGTCGTCGACGAACCCTCCCTAACATCAACTCCCCCGACTGGGGCATCCGCATGCAGGCTGAGAGGCAAGCTGTCAACTTTGTAGTCCAAGGTAGGATGACTGACAGGTGTGTCAGCTTGTTTGTTGGTCTGTATCTGTATGAATGTGGTCAAACAGATATGTGTGAGATTTTGTCTGTGTATGTGTGTACAGGTTCTGCTGCTGATCTCTGTAAGATGGCCATGATCAGAATCTTCAACCTGGTCTCCTCCTCCAGCTCGCTCTCTGCCAGGTACAACCACCAAACATGGCCACATCATACAGCACCTAAGGCGAGGCTGTATCCTTCTTCATACAGCTCAAGTACACTCTGGCTCTTCACACTGTAGTCTTGTCTGAATCCACACCAGCAAAACACGACCAAGCGCTAATGAAGAAAGTCTATCGTGCCAAAACACATAAGCAACTTTCACTATTTTAGCCAACTAAATTTGTAGAGTTGAAGAGTTTTCTCAAATGAATGCTGCACGCCAAACACTCTAGCTAGAGTAAAAACACTTGAAGCCCAGAGCCAAAATATACCAGATTTAGATGGCTATGTTAGAAGAGCAGGGGAGGACTTAGTTGAAGTCCTCATGGTGGTTGATGAAGATCAGCCAAATGCCACGTTATTAGTAGAAGTTGTAGTAGTAGTCTAGCAGTAGTTGGGGTGTTATGTATTTCTGAATGTGTTTGTAACTGCAGGCTGATAGCACAGCTCCATGATGAGCTTCTGTATGAAGTGGAGGACTCCCAGGTGGAACAGTTTGCAGGTGAATGCAGTTATCAAATATTTTCACTTGTATGAAAGACAGTAATGTGGTGAGCCTACAGTGCATGCCACCTGTTCAATTCTGGCTCGCTACCTTTGTCAGGCCCCCCTCCATCTCCCCGTTTCCTTCTTCACTGTCAAACTGTCCAATAAAGGCAAAAAAGACATTAAAGTATTGTACCTATGACGGCAAGTATAGTGTACAGGTGTATCTCAACAAAAATTTGAATATCGTGAACCAGACTGAGAGATGAAAGGTTCAGGAAACCTGTGCAGGTGTTTTGAGGTATTTTTTAGGTAAAGGTTAGTCTTGAAATACTTCACTTTATGTGTAATAAATCTAGAAGGTATTTTTTTTATCAAAATACATACAAAAATGAACTTTTCCATGATGAGATGCACCTGTATATAAAATAGTAGACATTTTTGGGTGGATATTAAAAGGCCAGTGTGTATTTATTATTTATTTATTGAATATGAAATATAAAATTCATATGGATGTTTTTCATTAGTGTAATCGCCTGACATTTTTTTACGAATTTCAGTATAGTACACGCTTTAACGTGGATAGTGGGGCGAGGGTTATTCAGTTGGTTGTAATCTGCAACCTCACCGCTAGATGCCACTAAATCCTACACACTAGTCCTTCAAAGGGTGTTTTGGTAAATTGATGTGACACTGCTACAGTTAAAAGTGTACTCCATCAGTTTAGTATTTAGCATGTTACATTGTTCGACTCACATTTGATACATTGATGCAGCAGAATCAGAGGTATCATCTTTTTTATTCTACGCATTGTTCTTTCTTGTCAAAACCGGGCGCCTACCTTACCCACAATGCAACTTGACCACTGACAGTCAGCTTGGAGGTTCAGATGTGTTATGCTAGTAGCGGCTAATGTAGCCTCGAACTGCTAGCCTAAAAAAGGGATGAGGAGCAGGCCGCATAGGTCTGATAAGCTCATTTCTAAGCTCGAACTCCACACCCCCAGATCTTTTCCATTGTCCAACCTGTAGTCTTTGGCACAAATCGATTTATCAGTTTATCAGACTTCACATAGCTCTCTGGAGCCACAAAAGGCTGTATGCAACTTGCTTCACTTATGCAGTCATTCTTCCCAAGATCTGTATACAAATGTTGCTGTGTAAAATTGGTGTTTGGTTGAACACTGCAGTGCTCTGCAAAAAAAGACTAAATTATTGCTCTTCTCACTGGTGTGACCATTAATACCTGTGTCTATGTGTGCGTGCATGTACTTCTGTGTGTAGCTCTGGTGAGGAGCACCATGGAGTCCCTTCAGCACATAGTCCACCTAGGAGTCCATATTAAGGTGAGTACACGAAGCCTGGAATTAAAATCATTCAGTGCTTTAACAGTATCAGTTGTCATGTTCAGATTGTTTCAAACCTTTGTTCAGTTGTGGATGCAAAGATGTTTTTTCTTGCCATGCAACCCAGGTTAATGGAGATGTACACAGTAGCAGCACAGTATCACGCAGAGAGGAAAGAGCAGGACTGTGGCACAAGAAATAGGCCTATTTAAAGTCTTTAAGTGCTAGTGTTGTGGTTGAAACACACATTTCTTAAGTACATGATATCACTGCACGCAGATATTTATTAAAAACAAGAGCATTTTTGAGTGGTTAAGTGAGTGGAAATCAATGTAGATCACTGTGAACGAAATCTACGCATGTAGGCTGACACACTGACACCTTTTCCTTTTCTTATGCGTCTGTGTTTTTCCCAGGTCCCCCTGAAGGTGGCAGTTTCTATTGGCAAATCCTGGGGATCCATGTCAGAGCTTAACATCCCTCCAATGTCTCCTTCTCTTTGAGTCCCCCCTCTCCTTCTCTTTGAATCCTCCCTCTCCTTCTCTTTGAATCCTCCCTCTCCTTCTCTTTGAGTCCTCTCTCCCTCTCCTTCTCTTTGAATCCTCCCTCTCCTTCTCTTTGAGTCCTCTCTCCCTCTCCTTCTCTTTGAATCCTCCCTCTCCTTCTCTTTGAATCCTCTCTCCCTTCTCTTTGAATCCTCCCTCTCCTTCTCTTGAGTCCTCTCTCTCTTCTCTATGAGTCCTCCCTCTATCTCCCTCCCCCTTTTCACCGCCTCTGTAATGAATATACTTTATTTCACTGCCCCAGACCTTTTCTGTTCCCTCTCACTCTCTCTGGTGTGTTCTCATCTTTCTGTATCTTCTGAGCTTCTTGGTCCATTTCTCCCGCTCACAGTCTCACAGTCTCTCTCTCTTCTTCACTCGTCCTGCATCCACATTGCTATGGAAACCAGGCAGCTGCAGCTCCCAGTTTCTGCTTTCACTCCATCCGTATCTGGGGGCAACGGGAGCCTCAGACTGGATTGCACCGGTCCTTTTTTTTTCTCCTTGTCTCCTCCTCTCCTCCTCAGTTTTCACACTCTCTTGTTAAAACCACTGCTGTTTTCTCTGCCTTGTTGCCAAGGTGAAGCTACATGTTTGAGAGAGGGGTGATTGGTTCAAAATCTGTTGTTAGTATGATCTAAAAAAAGATGTAGCAGTTGAGCTACTGTATGCCTGAAATATGGTGTACTGTGTTCTATAAAAACTTCCTTGTATTTACTGTTTTTATGCTTTGTTCATGCTAAATAAAGCTTGCATTAATTGAAAGTGTGACCAATCTCACTTTCTCACCTATTTTCATTTCCGCAGGTTTTTTTCTGTGTGCACAAGGCACTAATCCTTACTTAATTCTTAAAGCTAATTTGCACGTTACATTTTAGAGTATTTTTAGAGCTGATGCTCTTATTAACAGAAGAAGAATAACCTTGAATCAAATGAGTTTAAGTCATAGTTCCCTGATAGTATTCCTGTAAACCTTAATGAATATTGAATGATTTACGAGACAAATTCCAGAAAAAAGAGACAACAATGGAGAGTTTTGAGAAAGTCTAAATATTCTATTATTCTAATGACATGAAGCCACAATATTTTGAGGGATGCTTTCTTTAATAAATGTCACCTTTTTGTTGGTTTCATTCACCTGGTTCAAAGCAGATGATCTAATCTTGCTCGGCCATGTGCATCCAGCTTACAGCCCATCTTTTATCCGCTCACTTGGCTCTAGCCCACTCCTCCCCTTTGTCTTCTTCGTGCCTCTGTCACACGTACACACATTCCACAAATGCTCGTACACAAGCATCCATACACTTAAGAAACACACAAACACACACACGCACTCTGTATCCACTCAGCCGCCATGAATGCGCTCACACAGTCACCGGCTGCCAGGCACACTAACTGAGTTTTCTTGCCTATGGAAGCTACGGCGAGACTCTTTTTGCCCCTTTTTATACTGTCCTCCAATTAAGACCCTTCAAGCCTATAACGTGGTTCTACACAGAACAAAGCCTAACCCCCATTACCCATTTGAAATGTCACCTAATGTTGGCTGCTAATTATAGGAGTTGTCACTTTTTAAGTCGGTACAAAGGTGGCATGTGGGATATCCCGCAGATTCGCCAACAGTTCTGTCTTGTTATGTATTTACATTCCTCCAGTTTCTTTTTCAGCTGAACTGCCCTTCACTTTGCCTATTGAACCCACTGACAAGAATGTGCTCTTCGTGGATCGACGCAAGAGATGCCTTTCTCACCGGGTCAGTATGAGCATTTCAGAGCAATGCACAGTGTTATGGAAATCTGCCCCTCCATTCTCTCATTGTTCTGTGGTTTAAGGGTGCGAGGCCTTCCCCCCTTTGAGAGGAGAGCGTGAGACTGGTATGTGCAAATTCTAGAGGGCACTCTGCACTTTTGGAGTAGGGTTGTTCGATGTAGGTACGAAAGTAAAACAAATACTAATAAAGCTGTTTTAAACTCCTTTGTTTGTGTTCTGTGTAGTTGAAGTCTGTGTACAGGATGCAACAGTAAACCAGTGCTGTACTTTTTCTTCACCATCAGTTGGAATATTTTCACTTCGGGGTTATTACAGCAGTTTTTTTAGGAGGACTGCTGTCTTCAACTTTACTAAATTAAAGAGACGTAAATTAGGTTATGTTCATTTGATTGAGTGGTGACTTCACTTTAATGACCCGTACCATTCACAGGAGCCAAGGCCTGAGGGTCACTCTGAAGAGTACAGTTGTCAAGGACAACAGAGGCATGTGTGAGTAGATCCTGCAGCTCGCACCATCACGGCTGTGCTGGCACACATATATCACTTCAAATAAAATATTTATCTGTGTGTTTACATTTCCTTTTCCCTTTCTCTGCTCTCTTGGAAAGAAAAAAATTGGTTTACAGTTGCAACATATAAAAGCTTAATGCATCATCATTTTTAATTGATACAATTTATGTACATCCATGTTTCAATCATCGTCATAATTCAGGAAATGCCATCTTTACATCTGTACAGTGTTCCAGTTGTTGTCAGTATAAAAGAAAGGGTTAATAATCAACAATAATAATAGTAATCCCAGTGTGGTAATACAGCAGTCTCCGAAAGGAATGGCAGAAAGGGAACTGAAAGCTAATAGACCCCCAATAAAAACCAGGTTGTCACTGCAGTCTCACTGAGGTCGGGCAGACCGGTGTACCAACTGTGTCTACACTATGTTGCAGTCTCTCCCTGTTAACACTAAATCACCACACCATGCTTGACCTTATGAATCTTGTCCCACACCATACCTGCCTATAACTGTGACCCTGCTTTTTCTCTCTTTGTCTTCTTCTTACCCACTTGACCCCAGACACTATTTGCTTACTGCTGTACTTTACATGCCTCAGGGCCCCTTTTCTCAAATTCCTCACCGTAGCCAAACTACCCCTGCCCCTACAGGTCCCCTAACCCCTGGTTTACAAAGATCCCATAGTTACAATTTTGCTCCCTTCCCCCCAGAAGTCCTTCCAGTTCCACTATCATGGCCAGCTGGTTGACCTGCCTGCCTCCCCACAGCGTGGCTGTGTATCAGCCCCCCTGCTGTGCTTTGTGTGGGTCGGTTTCCTGGCAACAGGCCATGACAGGGCTCCAGGGCAGAAAGATCCCCTTGCACTGCAGCAGCTTGCTAAAGCTAGATAGCTCAGTCCAGAGCCACTGACATTCATGGCCATGCCTGGTGTGTGCTATAAGCTAACAGAGCGGTTGCTGTTGCTGTGTTTTAGGTTCTCTCTGATGACTTGAGAGTTCAAGCAGACAGGCAGGACAAGGAAGGCTGTGTCCGGACCCATCAGTGTGGGACAGAGACACCAAGGCTAAGGTGGCGTGCGCTGTAGCCCCTGAAAGTGGCGGCCATTAGTCCGCATGGGATTGTCATGAGGTAATACAGATGAAGACACCTGCACTACTGTAGAATCTCTTTATTAGTGCTGTAAATATCTTTAAAATTTAATTCCACAGTTCTTTTACAAAAGGAGTAAAAATGACCCCCTGATGCTATTTACAGTAAAATATACTTTACAACTTTACAGATACTGAATTACAGATTCAAAGAAAGACTTTGAACCTCGCTTGTTAGAAAAGTCAACATGATTGAGACTTTAGATTCTGGCAGCTGCAATGTGTTTTTAATTGATTATTTTTAATTGTACTAACAGAGTGGTGGTAGTGAAGTTGCACTGAATACCGTGTTATAAGTTCACCGGAAGTCTTTTGTGGTTAGATAAAAGCTCAGTTAAGAGACTGACAGCAGATTGCACTTTCAGAGTGTGGCTACGCCATCTTTTTCCTGTCTGCTTGAACTGCTCATTCTTTAGCATCCATTATACCCCTCTTGTCATTTTCCCCATTTCCTTTGACATCTGTACAAATATGCAGAGGTACACCTGTGTATTTCGACTTCGAGTTTAAAAAAACACATCATTGACACCTCTTTGTAAAGAAAAATACAAAAAAACAGAAACATTTTACAATCAAACACCCCATCAGGCTTCGATATAATGAGTGGTAATGTCGCAATGCCAAAACTGTGGTGGCATCATTGCCACTAATTGGTACAGTATAAGGGATATAACATCAATGCAGCATTTTATGTATTCAATAAAATCATTGTTGATAGTATGCCAGTACTGTATTTTGTTGTTTTGTCTGTTTGTTTGAATTTATTGCTTGATTAGATGGCACGTGGGCAGGATCTTTGCCATATAATAACCAAGTAAGTACAGGATTGTGTTGAACAAAAGTTAGCCACATAAGGAATAAAAATGCAGCAATTACTGTCACCTTTGACAAATTTTCACCTCCATAAATAGCCATGGGTCGAAGTATACATAAGTTATACATCATGGTATCATGTCTTGTATATATGCTTATGACTCATACAGCAGAAAGAGAATCTTTATCCATATTCTTCATAGGAAATGTAAAAAATCAAAACTATCTGTACTGTAATAGCAAAACAAGACACAGTTGTGCTACAAGTGCTTATGTGTTCTTGGCACCTGTGGCCTCAGTCCAATTGTGAGTCCTTCTGTATTTGCCACAGTAGAGCAAAATCCTCACCAGAGGGAGAGAGAGAGAGAGGGAGTCCATGCTGTGGAGCTCTGTTGCTGCAGACCTCCTCCCGCCGCCCCCTCCCCCCCATTTAACTGCCAATGTGGCACATTCCTCCCTCACCCCTCGCCCTCCTCGTTAGGTGGAACATTCCAGGCGACAGCCATCTTCTGAGACAAAAATATACTCCATCGGGATTGGTTAAAACCAGCAAAGATGACAGTTTGCAGAAAATAATACATTGACAATAGGTAGGATACGACTATTTACAATCACACAAAATGTCTAACGCCTAATGTAGTGGTTTAGTCACTTAATGAAAGAACCAATAGCTGCTTTTCATCCTTTCCCCACCATTCTTCTCATTCATAAAGTAAAAAAAGCAACTGGGAAAGATTTAAAACATAAAAACCTTTTTAAGACCTTAAATGCTGGCAGTTTACATTCATGCCTGTGAGTGTTCTCCCCCAAGGCTGCTGAGCATAGACACACACCATCAACACACCCACAGGATCTGTACATTTGTGCAGAATTATATGCTCCTTCACCAGTTGATAAACTGAATGAAATACTGATCATGACAAATACTGATATTTTTAGTGTTTGATTATTTTAACAGCCATGTTTTAGGATTTATAAAACTTCTGAAGTTGAAGCGTTAGCTTCAATAGCCTCAGCTTAGGCCTCTGTGTCTGCCATCAGAGAGAGAGCATCAGATGGTCATTTATGGACTCTAAAGCACTAAACTAAAAGAGCCTTCTTTATGCAGCATACCTTCTCAAACCTCAACCAATAGGACAGCACACTCGCATTCAAACAAATCACAGAAAACCAAATTTAAAAAAAGTGTGAGATTGTTTTTGGATTGTACATCAGCAGAACATTTCAGAGGAATGGTTTGTAACTAAATTTACACTCTGGTAGAAGTTGCATACAGTTTAATTACTACATTCTAACATTACGTATGCAATACCAGTTTTAAATGGGAGGTGATACTTCACAGGGCATTGCATTCACATGAAGTAGAAAACAGACATTGCTCAGACTAGAAATAAATGCATTATAGTCAGTGCACTTCATTTTTACAATTCTAAATCACCCTTTAACTACCTTGAGCCATGCAGTCCACAAGATATTTTAACTCCAGCATTTGCTTCCAGTGCATAAGGCCTTGGCAAAGGCATTTTTAATGATATTACCTTTGTTCATATGTACCAGTATGGATAATAACTTCTCCAGAAAATACATGAAGGAGTGTCTTAAATTTCATGTGGCAGAAACTGAGACTGGGAGCAGCAGAAATGGCTCAGAACTGACGGACTTCACGTTCTTCCACAAGATCCAGACCACTATTTTTATTTTTTTTTTACAACCACCTCAACAGTGTCCACCTCTCACTCTCAACCTTCGGACCTCACCCAAGTCTTTAAAGAGTGGGTTTAGTCATACATTAAGGACCAAAACACACTGGCAGTAATAACTGACTCCAAATGTGTCTCAGCTGTGGTGTTTCTAAAGCCTCAGCTCCACTGACCCCTACATTTCACAACTGTGATATCAAATTTTCTTCAGGTGATGGTTTATAGTCTGATTCTTGTATTTGGAGAGAAACCAGAACCTATTTCTGTATAGTGTTCACACTGTAGTTTTGCTGTTGTCAACTGTTACCATTAGCTTAGTGGGAAGTTTGTAAGTGCCCTATGAAGGTCAGTGGTAGCTGTTGCTCCTGAAACGTCACAAAATACAGCGGGGTCCTCTTTTGACTCTCCAGCATCTTCAAAGCAGACGCATCAAAGTGGTGTGAGGCATCCTCCACATGTTCGCCCGGTGAAAACATCTTGTGTGTTTTTGAAAACTGTCTGATGCTTTCAGTGCAATTGTGCCTTGCTTTTACTTTGCAGAATTTAAATTAAATTAGGTCAGCTCCAATTAAAAGACAAAGGAGTTGTCGGTAGCTAAGCCTGCTCCAAATGTGACTCGGGCACATTGCTTGAACAAACGGAGGGAAGGGGAAGAAGCTTTATTTTTATGGGACATCAACCGCTTAAAGTAGCTAAGGTCAACTTTTGTCCATTCTGGGTGTTATGTAAGGTACATCCCTAAATAAAAAAATATATATTATGGAAAGAAAGTTCGATGCAAAAGAAGCATGTACGTACTGTCTAGTTTTAGGCATTTAGCTTACATAGATGGAGGTCCAGTAGGGTTTGAGGACACTTTTGACAGGAAACGGCTTTGACCGTCACTGAAAACCATTACACTACCCTGCTACCTGTTTTCTTTATCTGCATATGATAAATTTGGCAAAGGACTTGAATTTGAATCACTTGATGCTCGTAAACATTCTGCATTATGTACTGCATGGGAATACATTTTTCCTCTGTCATCATTTGTTGAATGCCCATTGATGATCTTAGTCCTGCGAAGTGTTTGGGAACCTTTCCACAAGCTGGTTTAATAGAAGAAGAGCTGCGATACTTTCAATCATATGTCCTCACTCCCCTAATAAAGGGTAAAAAACGTAACTTTTCTGTCCTCCAGTCAGTGATGGATAAATCTGAATGTCAATAGCCACTTTCAAATTGAGCAAGGCTTTAAGAATAGTGTACAACTTCTAAACAACGGTTGGCTACCTCCTAAAGATTCATGAGCACTGGCCTGTGGCTGGTATTAATTTCACATCCTTGTCTTGATTGCAGAGAATTCAAATAATTTAAAATAAACCATTATAAAAAATGTACAACTCTATGGTTCCACTGTATGCCTGTGCTAGGAGTTTCTCCCCTAAATGTTATATTTGCATTCAAAGACACATTTCATGCAAATGGTACAATTATCTTTTTTTTTTCCCAAACAAAGAAACACACATTTCTTTTATATGTTGATTCTAAAAAATAAGTTTTGTTTCTTTATATAGATATATATGTCGTATATATCGTATATAAAGCAGTACATTTTTTTCTACACTTTTCCAGGGCAGGCACCGTACACACACTGGGTACAGAGGCATGCCACACTTGCATTGCTTTTTGCATTCTACAGTTGGTTGGCTGGCAGGCATGATGTCATCCAGGCAGTGCTGCCGTTGGTGAGTACGCACGCACACACACACACACACACACACACATTTTCTCTCTCACTTTCTGTGTCTTCTGCATCACACCAGATACTCATACGACCATACATCAGCCTTGCAACCCGGCACCAGCCAGTCCTGGAGCGTCACACTGCCTAGATGACATCAGGGTAAGGGCAGGGTCTAGGGTTGGACCAACAAGCTTCAAGTGGAATAATAAAAGCAGTGCAGCAAGGCTCTGTGGCGCATGCAGACATGGGCAGGGAATGGGTGTGGCCTGGGGCAGGGAAGGTTAAAGGTCAGTGGAGGGTGTGCAGGGTTTAAATGGAAGGTGTGGGGTCTAGCCCAGGGTTGCAGACAGATTAATGAATGGGGAGAGTTTAGGCGGGAAAGGGTGGCAAGGCAAGGAGGGTCAGTGCTAATTTCATGACAATTACATTTATATTCAATTTTTTTTCATCTTTTTTTTATCTTATGTGATTTTTTTTGTTGTATTTTGTTTCATATTTTAATTTTTACCAATGGTGTGATGACAGAACTTAGGCTCAGAGTCGTGGATGGCTGAATATACTGCTGGTTGTATGGTCGGAGGATGGGAGATGGAGAGAGGTGTTATGGGAGAAACTTTGACGTTTTGTTTGCTACACGAGTTTTCAACTGTATACACAATATAAATACATGGGGAATACTAATGCCAATATATTGGTGTAAATTATTATTTGCTGTTTGTGCTCAGTTATGTACTTTAGGTTTGCAAGTATTGCTAGTAGTCATGTCTTACCCAAGTTGTTCCCCAATAACTTGGATTAAGTATGTGGAGTGTAGCTACTATTTGTTTAGGTTTTGTCAGTTAAATTTGCATATTACAATGTGGTAATATGTGTTTAAAGTTATAAAATTACTAATTGTCAGTCAAATACTAAACATATTCAAAATGTTAGAATTGATCTTTCTTCAATCAATAAACATTTTATAAGTACACATAGAAAGTGTTTAGTTAGATAATACTTGACTCTAGCAAGGAAGGTGCGTGTCTATTCACGCAAAATAAAAATAGTTGAGACATTGTTGAGACATGGTCTGATGTCTGACCATAGCTCATCAAACACACACGCACACACAAACACACACAGTCACACACACTCTGAACAGTCAAGCGTACATACATCCACAAGCTCTGTCATGCAGCTATATTGTATCTTAGGATCTGTCAGTGTGACGCTGCAGCGAGAAAGTTACACCCTTCATTCACCTCAACCCAATCACAGACCCTCTCCACAGCTCTGGTGAGAAAAGCAGTGGTTAACTGATGATAGGAAACAGTAGGAGGGAAGGAGAGATCCAATCACATAGTCAGTGAGGAGAATGAAGAGGAGGATGTGTGAGGAAGATGCACTGTGTTGATTCAAATCCATCCAGGACGCAGGATACACAGTGCATATTCCGGTAACCATCCTGCCATCCTTTTCTCTCACTATGGGGGTCAGTAACACACTCTCGCTGTGCTTCAATATGGTGTCTTGAGCGATTGGCTAAAAGCCAAAATGACTTGATTTGTGTGTGTGACCATGCTCTGTGTACAGTGCACACACAAAATGCAACATTGCAGAGATTTTTTTGTAAAAGAGAGTGTCTACCACAATCTCCCCCAGCACTTCTTTTTGTGTGTTTTGCTCTGGAGGAAGCCATCGGCCCCTCCCAACCCGTCCATTGCTCTGTCCACCCCCCCCAATGAAACCGAGTGCAAATATTTAATGGCACTGCCCTGCTTCTGATAAATTCTGCTGTGGGAAAATTAGGAGAATGTGGGAGGGAAGGGAAGGCTTGAGGTAATGGGGGAAGGGTAAAGAGGGCATTGTTGAATAATAATGATGAGGAGTATTGATCAGAGTCACATGATCTTAAAACCAAAGGGACAGGGGAGGGTGCCTACTTGGGGTGCCAGTTAGATGTCTTCTATAAAAGCCAATTTTTTTTCTCCCACAATGGAAAGGGAGGGATAAAGGTACAAAAAATATCTTAATAAAATAGAGGAAAAGAAACAAACTCTTATTTAAAATGTAAAAGTATAATACAAAAACAACAGCAACAAAAGCATAATAGTAATGAAAACGTTAGTGACTTTAAAGATGAAATAGTAGAAGTGTTAAGTTGTACTCGGAGTTATCTCTAATGACACAAAATAAATAAAAGCTGTCAGAGGAGAGGATGCGGTCGGGGCTCTCAGGTGAAGGAGGGTCGTTGCTCTCTCTCTCTGTCCCTCGCTTTCTCCATCTCCCCCTCTCCATCTCTCTCTCCCTGTCACCTCTCACTCCTCACGGAGCTGCAAGCGGTAGCGGCTGTAGCGGATCTGGAAGAAGAGCCTCTGCAGCGGCGAGCGGTTCATCCCAGGGAGCCTGTAGTCCTCGCTCTGGCCCGTTTGGCGGAAGCCCAGCGACTCGTACAGCTTGTGGGCGGCCAGCTTGACAGCCGTCGTGCCGAGGACCACAGCGGCGTAGTTGTTGCGCACGGCGAACTCCAGAACACGACGACCAAGTGCCTTTGCGATGCCTTTGCCACGGTAGTGGGAGTCCACCGACATGCGCCGCAGCTCAACCGTGTTTTCATCCTCACGGCCTTGCGCAGCCACGATCCCAACCACACGTCCATCAAGCACTGCCACCCAGAAACAGGAGCCTGGCAGAAACAATAAGTTTGATAAAATTAGGTTGGTCTCTATGAGCAGACTGTTGTCAGAGGCTGTAGTTAAAGATACAAGTATTAGTTCAACATTAACCATCAAATAGTTCAAAGAGAGAAAGCTGGAGCCAGCAGCCAGGTAGCTTAGCTTAGCATAAAGACAGGAAATAAGGGGAAATAGCAAGCCTTGCTTTGTCCAATGGTAACATAATTGGTATGTAGTAGTGTAAAATGACAGGTTGTGGTTTAACCGACATGTCTAATGTGTTTATTAGTGAGCTGTATAGGTGGTGCTATTTCCAGTCTTTGTGCTAAAGTTAATCTTCTCATCTAACTCGGCAAGAAAGCTAACAGGTATATTTCACAAAACATCAAATGATTCCTTTAAGATATAAAGGTAAAGAACAGGACCCTAAAGTCTTTAAGCATCAGTGAAAAACATTTTTTATGAAGAGGTAGTTAAGGGTAGAGACCTTCACACTTATCTGCTCCAATATACTGTGAAGCTCCAGATCATATTTATCAAATCTCTCTCACAAATGTCAAATCGAAATACTTTCTATGGTTAAACATTTGCTACTTGAGAGAAATTCATGCCCCAAACACAAATCACACGGGACTTATTTGAACAAAATATACACCGTGAGTGGCCTCAAAAAACAAACTAATATTTTGGATGGATGAAAGGAATAAGTAGAAAAACAACAGTGGTTGAATGAGAGTGTTTAGCACCATAAACTCGAATCATAATTAACGTCCTGTGTTTCCATTAGCAGGGAGTAGATGAAGGAGGAGGGCAGACACTAGCCACTCAATGAGATGCTGCTGATTAAAAGCGCAGGCATGACGGAGCGGCCACTTAGGGCTCAACGTGTAGTGGAGCAGAGACTGATCTCATAGGACAGAGTTTTGGGGATTGAATAAATATATTTAGGAATTTCCAAGTTTACAAAATAGTGTTGCGGAAATTGAATCTTATTTTGTCATGTTAAAACTACATAGTGTGTCTGTGGGCTGTATCCCAAAGCGATAAATCAGACACTGGCAACAGACAGATAAAAAGACTAACACACATACAGACAGACAAACAAGGTTAGACCAATGCCAATAAAAGTCAGCAGCCAATGCTCCTCCACCAGAGTACCGCTAAGATCTTGAATATCAACCCTCTATGTTCGTGCTGCTGTTCCTACGCTGTTCACTTTGACACAGAGTGATTATGCTTATGAAATATTTTGCTTGTGAGATAATAGTTTAGTTTGTTGACAAAATGTATTTCATGTCGACCTTTAGAGCTACAAAAAAACTCCCCCTACAGAGAAAAATGCTAACACAAAAAAACCCCTCCGTTATCCATAGTCCCCGCATTACCCTGGCCCAAAACAGCTGAAGAATCACCAGTTCACAGGTTGTTAAATATGTGACTAACAGCGCAGAGAAAAATGTAAATATGTCATTTATTCCCCTTTGAACCTTAATCAGGCAGTTTTAAATGGACATAGCTTGTAGGGTGCATACCCTTGCTTAATTTCCTTTACCGATCGTAATCTTTCAAGGAAAGGGACGGTCTTTTTTATTATGTAACCATGTTGAAACAGCCTTTCCATCAATGTCAGCAGGATTTACAGCATGTGTTGGCAGCGGTTACATGGTTTTGTACTAAAATGCCATCTGTATGTTATAGATAAAGTTAATCTGACTATTACATGACTGGCAGCGGCTGACCTGCAGACAGTAAAAATTTGTGTTCATCTGTCCTAGCTCTCTCTTTTCTTGCTTTTACACATAACCTCTTCTGGTTTTCATTTCTGCTGAATCTCTCACTCTTACACACACACACAAACAGGCAGTGGCATTAACATCATGCTTCTGCTGGAGTCCCGTGTGTTAGGGGGGATTTGATGCCCCTGCAGGCCTGTGTTAAGCTGATCCGGAGGCTTCTGTTACTGAATCAAACAACTGCCATGTAGGTTGCAGCAGCAACAGGAAAACCAGAGGACTCCCCGCCCTGGGAGCTAAACAGGGATATGGCATCACTGCGTGTTTCACTAATCTGTTTGGGGAGCTGTGATTTTGAATTATACGCGGGAAGGTTCATAAACTCCTTGAAGTGCTGAAAAGCTCCCTAAAGAATAATCTGTTTAACTAAAAACACATGAGAGTGTCCTGTTGCGCTAGCTGAGACTTTGTAGATTCACCCTCAAATCCAATTTTGGTGTTAGGTACGGAGACACTAGCAGGAAAAATGTGCACGCAGGAAGTGACTGATCAGAGATTTTATCTTGTTCGCTGTCTCTGAATAAATGTGGGTCAGATGACTGTGCAGTTTACTGACATTACATTTCTGGATAATAAATGTCTTTCTCCCTTATAAAAAAGGGTGATTATGTGGAGCTTTGATGTAAATCTGAATCAGGCAGGCAATCTATTAAAGGTCCAGTGTGTAATATTTCGGAGGATCTATTGACAGAAATGCAATATGCTATCCATAACTATGTTTTCAGCGGTGTATAAAGACCTTACATAATGAACCGTTACCTTAGAATGAGCCATTTATGTATTCATACACGTGGGTCCTCTTACATGGACGACGCCATGTTGCTCCACCATGTTTCTACAGTAGCCCAAATGGACAAACTGCTCTACAGAGCATGTTTCATCACTACGTTGAATACGTACAAAAAACAAGCAGAAGAAGAAGAAGTGGGAGTAGTAGTCAACTGGTTTGTTAGAAGTAAGAAGAGAAGCGAAATTTGGACAGATGCAAGACCACATGTATTTAACACAAGAGCCGAGAGCGTGTCATCCATCGTAACTTCTCCTCCAAGCTTGGAAAGGGAGGGGTGAGCAGTGATTGATGGTGCATTCATTGTAATCGGAATCTTTTTTCCTCCCAAAAGAGGAATAAACTGAACATATGATATAAAGAAGTATACAGAACAGTATACAAATAAATAAAACTTTGCCAGGGGTTGTCTATATTATATAAAGATATTTAAAGAGGACAATGTTGACAGTTTTCACTGCCATTTTGTTGTTGGATTTAAAAACTAAATTGATATAATGTGCAACCTCATGGACAAAAAGTACAAAGTTAGTTTTTTTTACTGCTGAATTTACAATTTATTAAATCCTCGTGCAAGAAAAACAGTCTATGCCGGTCTGTAATTTATTAATGCTAAGTACTAACAAAAGAAATCATAACCATTCATGCACAAAAATAACTGTAGGTTGTAGTTTTTACTCGCACATCGTAAATTATTCTTCTAGTTCACACGGATCAATTTTATGGGCAAATGCATGTGAAATACTCTGTTTAGCAACATATCATCCGTCCTGAACCCATCGCGCTGCTTGAGTTTAGATACCTTGGTACAGCGGGGAACAATTTAAGGGTGACACACAACCAGAAACAACGCTGATCTGAATACGTTTGACCGCCAATGTGTCCGGTAGCCTTCCAACATTTAGCCACCAATCGTTAAATCTACCCGCATTTGGTGCTCGGCGGGTGTTAATTGCCAACCCTGACGTGAATGCACAGTGAGTCGTTTGTTGCAATTCGTAACCCTCACCACTGGATGCCACTGAACCTTTAAAGTTTTATATGGTTAATTGTCTCGCAGCCTTCGCTAACGGTATGGAATGTTTCATTATAGGCAGCTGTATGTCAAAGCTGAAGTGTCAGCTCCTGTGGCCGATACTATTATTTAGTGTGTGTGTGTGTGTGTGTGTTGGAGGCGTAGGAGGGGGGGATACACTTCCATAAAGCCCTTTGACCATCTGTCTGAACTGAGCCTGTGCCAGGAATGAGGACAGCACAGGAACACGCGCCAACCGCCTCTCTGCCTATCACGCTGTGTGTATAACTTAACTCTGTGTCTCAAAAACATCACTTGGATCACATGGGACAATGACCTACACTAAAAAAACAACAACTCAGAAGTATTACTTGTCTCCTTGTCCCTCCTCCCTGACTGTGCTTTTCTAGTGAAAGCTGAGCAGGGTATATTGGCCTCTAAGCTTCCTGACATCATGGCACTTCACATCTGCTGCATCTGACACTGCTCCTTTTAAACTGCATGGACTTAGTGAGCTATCATTGTTTCTGCTGGGAACTGCACTTCCTGGAGATGGAAAGAGAGAGAGGGAGAGAGACACAGAGAGAAATGGAAAGAACAAAAGAGAGAAGAGAACGTTATTCTCCAAAAGGCCGTTTATATGCTAAACATCTGCATGTTCTCATTGTCACTATGAGTAAGCTAGCATGCTGATGTTAGCATTTAGCTCAAAGCACCGCTGTCCAGACGTAGCGCCTCACAGAGCTGCTAGCGTGGCTGCAGACTTTTAGTGTTGTTAAAGATGCCTTACAGCCCAGCAGCTGGGACAGGATATGATAAAGTAACTTAGAATTGTTGTTGTCAATGTTAGCTTTCTAGCATCATGACTTCGGTGTGTGTGGGCAGTTTTGCTGGTTGTCATAAGAATAAATGATGGATGCAGACATTGACACATTGTGTCTGTCTGTGGTTTGGGGAAATAGGAGAGTCGCCAAGTGGCTGATATTGAAGAGAATATTGAGATAAAAGTGTACATAAACAACAAGACCTTTAGCCTCACCTACGCCACAAATGGACTGTTTTGCGATGGGCCAATCTCTCTTCTTTGCATCGTTCTTCCTGCTCGTATCTACCTTCCCTCTTTCCTGCTAAATACTGCAGGTTACAATATATGAGGGAGAAGCTGCTTTGCCCTGCATCTCACCACGAGATTGATTAGTGAGGGAATGAATAGGACTCTGTTTTCCAAAAAGACTGTTGTGCTTTTGAGCAAGTCACTGATGCTCCAGTGCAGCAGCTCACTGCTGAAGAGTAGAGTTTAATACAGTATTAACACAGTGCTCCGCCCATGTTTTAGTGTGCGTTAACTGTGTCCGGAAAGTCCTATGAATGAGCTTAGTCACTCAGAAAGGGGAGTTAGAGAAAGAGCGGGACAGT